TAGCATCTACAAACGCAAAATGAGTCTCCCTGAGCTCATAATGTCATCAGTTTTCACTCTATGGAGCTGCAGCATGGACATTGAACAGGTGAGCGAGTATTTATTTAAAGGTTTTCCATTTAGATGCTTTAATAAACGTACGTCTCCCAGCTGTGAATCGGAACACGCCCATAATCCCTAAAAGTCAGCGTGGTGTCCTGACTGTGTTTTTACTCTAGGCGACGGTGTGTCTGCTGTCCGGCAGAAACTGATCTGGATTCACAAATTAAAGCTGAGCTTCTGTGAATTGTATTTTAGGGTAAATATAACCCTGTTGGTTGTGCATGAGAGTTTTCTACCTTCTTTTAATAAGCGTTCTTTGTCTTCTTTTTAGATTTTTACAGGAGTGAAGTCATACGGGACTCGCTGGTGAGTAAACCTACTCAAACCATCAAACTGTAGATCAGGCTGTAGTCATCACCATGCAGCCTTTAGACCGGCTGCCTGGCACACGTTTAGTTGTTTCACTATCAGCTTCCTAAAACTGGTTTTCAATTCACAATGTACAGTGACATGCTGCAAAACATGCTTCGTTGACTAAAATGTCAGACTTGCCCCAACATGAACTGAATATGAAATGTTCCCTTACGCAACTTTCACTCTGGGCAGACGCAGCTCTGAGTGAAGCTATAGGAGCAACACAAGGAGAGCAAGCCATTACAGTTGGGCTTGCTGCCGAGTCATGAGCTGGCCTAAGCTGCTTTCCAGGCACGCTGCTGACTGTATAACGCACCGCGGGAGTCCTGACTCGTCCTGTCGTCTCTCTCTCTCTCTCTCTCAGCCCCGACTTCCTCCTGTTGAGATTAACGTCCTTGCTGGCGTCTCGGGAAACGTTTCCTGTTTGTCTTCCTGTTTCCATGCTTCCTCTGCTGACTCTCACTAGTTCTGTTTTCTACCCTCCCCCTAACCTGTGGATTGTACTTCTGCTTTTGACATTCCTCCCCTGCCCGCTCTTGAAAGTGACCCGAATAGCCAGAGATTTCCTTTCTCTCCGATGGAGGGAAATGATCCATAATTGAATGATGTAAATGGCTGCAGTGCTTTGTAGAAACCAGTACTCGGTGCCGTCAGTCTGGAAGTTCAAGGACGCAGAGCGAGCTGCAGTCGAGATCAAAACGTTGAGGTTAATGTAGAACAGGTCGATTCAATTACTTTGCAATGTATAAGGATCACATTATGACATTGAGTTTGACGGAGGTACCGCACATTTCTTTATTTTAGATTTTGATCCAAACTCTTCAGCATGCAGAAAAATAAACACTCTTGTATTGTCTTTACTTGTCTGACAATAAACAGGAGCTTCAGTTCAAGCTTGAGTGTGATTATTTCTTAATTGAATGAATCAGTTATTGTGCTGATCAGCTGTAATGTCATGTATTTATGTGTGTGTTTGTGTCAGAATCCAACTTGGCGGAGCCTGGACTTTGGCATGCTGCCGGATCTCCTGGACACCTCCGTGTCTTGCTTCGTAGTGAGGATCTGGGGAGGACAGGAGGAACAGTACCAGCTCCTCATAGAATGGAAGGTCAACCTGGATGGCCTCAGATACACGGGACAGCAGGTCAGCAACCGCACACATGTCAACTTTAGTTGTGTGATTTGCAATTTTGTCAGAAGGATCCCTGGGTGGTAGGAAGTGTGCAAAGGATGCAAAAGGATGTATCCGGTAAGTGGTGAGACCTATGAATGCAGGTGCCACTTGTACACATGGTCTACATCAAAACGTGCAGTATCTCATCACAAACTGAAGCCCAACACTTGGGTCTCAGCTGGTCTCAACTTTTTTCAGCCAATCATATGATCTAGTTTCACCCTTTTCCGCTCCATATAAGAAATGCTGTTTTAGCCGGTTCTCAGTGCTCTTGAGCAACACTTCAACGACGCCTCGCAGTCAATGTAGCTGTACACTCTGTTGCTGGTGCGTGAAGGTAGCATTAATCGCATTAGGCTCGCTTCTACACTGAATAAGATAGTGAAAATGAACAGTTTGTTTTCAATCGAGACCAAACCTTATTCCAATCACTTAAATACAGTAAGCTGATATGCACATTACTGGAAACAGCATTTTTGCCAGTAATCAAAAGGAAAGAAATCTCACATCATGCTGCATTGACTCAGTGATCTGTAGTACTAAGCAATGAGACTTGTGCTAACGTGAGGTGTCCGTATCTGAGGAACAGGTCGTATTTGCACTTTGAAACTCCGTTTGGAGCCTTCGCGAAATGCAGTAAAAGAAGTCAATACCATTGTCATTCTTCCACAGCGAGACTACGTTCAAAAGCTCGTAAACCGACAGCACATTCTCACGCACAGACGGATGCCCGCTGTTTGTTCTCCCCCCCCGTCTCCGTCCCCACACAATGAGCCTCTGCTGCCATCTCTTTGTCCACAGATTCGATCCCGGAATCCCAACGAGATAATATTCGGGCTGAATGACGGCTACTATGCAGCTGACTTTGATCATAAGGTACGGGCTTTTTTGTCAGTGTTTTTCCAGAGCTCCTGCATCACAATAGTATACCCGGCATTAGCTTTATTCAGACGCTGTTTGGCCTCTGCACTGAAACACTTCACATGTGGATGTTGCAGGACCAGTCGGAGCGGAAGAAAAACAGTCTGCTTCAGGTCGACCAGAGTTCAGTCCGGAGCTCCTACAGCGTTTTCTCTTTGCTCAGGTAAGATTCATGCCACGAAGCGGTATTGCTTCATGTTATCATACCATTAGGAGTTATTGCATTAATTCAGTACAGAAACCTTTACTGCAGTGGATATCAACTACTGACAAAGAATGCTCCACAGTATGTGTGATTTATTTCAACCCACCACTAGTATTCTTGGAATAGGTCTTTTCATTTTGTCTCTTTTTTGTCATGTGACTAGACTTTCTCCCGTTATGAGTTTTGCATTGTTCTCCTTGCTATTTGTATTCCAGCAGATGGCGCCACAGGAAAGCCGACATTATGACCCGTTATCAGCTCTTCTGGTCTGTGTAAAGTCACAAAGACGGGACAAATATTGGAACATTTTGAGCAGGCTATCCAGCGTCAGATTTAGGACTGTGATTAGAATCAAAGTACTCACTGCTGAGTGTGGAAGAAAACGCGGTTAGCAACACAAATTAACACCACAGAAAGGAGACACACGATCTGCTGTAAAAATGTCCACCCTCGTTAGAAGGGGAACCCTGGTGCAGTAATTAAAGAGCTTTAGACGACACGAGGCTGTTTGTCTGCCTGTCTGTCTGTTGACAAACATGGCTTTGCCGTTCGACATTTATATATAAATGCGGCAGAACGCTGCTTTAAGCATCAGGAGGGCTTCCCCCGAAGGAAACCCTGTGATCATGGCCGTATCACAAAACAACGTAATTAAATCCAGTTTTAACTAAATAAACGTGTCTCTGGACGGTTCGACGTTTCCAAAATAAGATAAGGATCCTGTCATTAGGAGCGCTATGAAGGCCTCCGCTGACATTTTCCTACTATAAGAACTAAATAGGGCGACATAAACGCGTCACAGGCCTTTGCAGCGTCCAGCAATGGGGAGTCGTGCCAAAGCCGGCTGAACTTAAACAGCGCTCCCTCATCCAGAAGTGGTCATGGTTTGTGTTTATATGAGAGGATACCGTTGCCTCCCCAGCATCTTGCAGCAGGAAAAAAAAATCCCAGTTTGAATCCTAACTTTTATGACCTCTGCTCTTGCTCCTTTTTATTATTGCAGCTTTCCTCCACATCCTCTTCTTCTATCGGCACCCTGAGGGACTCTGTGGAGTCTAACACAGTTACATTGATCCCCCTCTTCCCACACACTGCTCGGCCTGCAGCTCCTCGCCCCCGTCAGAGTTGTTCTTTGGCTCGGCGCGCTCATATGCACATAGTTTATGATTATGTTCTGTAGAATGATTCATCAGATACTGAACACTCCAACAGGGATTGAGCATACCAGCCCGCCGAGCCAAAGAACAACTCTG